ATGTTTTACGATTATTCATTTTACAACGAAGTAAAAATAAGCAAGAATTTTCAGTGTTGGTCTGGCAGTGGCAGTGGAAGGAGTCTTCGAAAAATTAAGCACGGTGTTGCACTGAGGTGAGTAAAGAGTTGGCAGTTGTAGAAGAGTAAATTTTATTTTTAAGAAGTAAAGGAAAAATATTAAACGACCTTACAGGTAGATATACAAATAAACGCAAACATGGGGAGCATGTTTCGCAGCGAAAAGATGACGCTGTGTCAAGTATTTCTGGCACCAGAGGCGGCTTACAATAACATGGCAGATCTGGGCGAACTTGGCTGTGTGCAGTTTCGTGATGTAAGTCAGAAACTGCAATTTTATTCTATATTCATTCGTTTTTCTTCTTACATTCGTTTTTCTTCTTACAGCTGAATCAGAATGTTACTAATTTTCAGCGCAAGTTTGTGAACGACGTGCGTCGCTGCGATGAAATGGAACGCCAGATACGTTATATAACCAGAGAGCTGGAGGCAGATGGCTTTAAGCTAAAAGATGTTTTTGACGACATACCCGGTGCACCGAATCTACGCGAGGTATACGAATTGGAGTCAAATTTAGAGAAGGCCGAGTGTGAAATACGCGAAATGGCGGAGAATAATGTTAACTTGAAATCGAATTTGATGGAACTCACTGAACTTAGCAAAGTGCTGGAAAAGACGCATATATTTTTCACTGAACAAACCGTTATCAATATGGAGGAACATGCGAACAGCGGCAAATTCACTGGTGAACATCGTGGTCATTTGGGTTTCATCGCTGGTGTGCTGAGCCGTCATCGGCTCTTTGCTTTTGAGCGCATGCTGTGGCGCATATCACGTGGTAATATGTTGGTGAAATATGCCGACATCGAAGAGCCACTGTCAGATCCACGTACGGGTACTATGATTTATAAGTCAGCTTTTGTGGTATTCTATCAGGGTGAGCAATTGAATGCACGTATAAAGAAGGTGTGCGCCGGCTTCCATGCCGCGCTCTATCCCTGTCCGAATGTGCACGATGAACGCGCAGATATGCTGAAGGGTGTACAAACACGTTTGGAGGACTTAAAGTTGGTGATGAAACAGACAGAGGATCAACGTAATGTCATATTGTCAGGTATAGCTAAACACCTGCCTTATTGGTCCATTAAAATTACCAAAATGAAGGCGATCTATCATACATTGAACTACTTTAATATCGATGTGACCAGCAAGTGTTTAATTGGTGAGGCTTGGGTACCCACCTTGGATCTGGAGGAGGTGCAACAAACCATCGCAAATGGTTCGGCCACAACAGGCAGCACTAGCTCATTTCTAACGGTAATGGAAACAAAGAAAACTCCACCCACCTTTTATCGTACCAATAAATTTACGCGTGGCTTCCAAACGCTAATCAATGCTTACGGCATGGCCTCTTATCGCGAAGTGAACCCAGCGCTTTACACTTGCATCACATTTCCTTTCCTTTTTGCCGTGATGTTTGGTGATTTGGGTCACGGTTTCATTATGTTCTTGATTGGTTTCTGGATGGTGATTGATGAAAAACGGCTGATGCGTATGAAAGGTGGTGAAATTTGGCGCATCATGTTCGGCGGTCGTTATATAATTATGCTACTCGGTCTTTTCTCCATGTACACGGGTTTCACTTACAATGACATCTTTTCGAAATCCTTCAATGTGTTTGGTTCGAAATGGCGCATAAATTACAATACCAGCACTGTGTTAGCCAATGCCAACTTGCAACTCAATCCCACAACGTCTACAATCGGCACTTATCCGTGGGGTATGGATCCCATTTGGCAGTTGGCGGCCAATAAGATTATCTTTTACAATTCCTACAAGATGAAATTGTCCATCATTTTCGGTGTTTTGCACATGGTTTTCGGTGTTTGCCTGTCGGTGGAGAATATGGTGTATTTTAAGAAGTATGCATATATATTCTTAGAGTTCGTGCCACAGGTACTCTTCTTGATTTTATTATTCGGCTATATGGCATTCATGATGTTCTACAAATGGGTGCAATATTCGCCCACAACCGATTACGAGCCAAATCAGCCGGCATGCGCACCTTCGGTTTTGATCTATTTCATCAATATGATTCTCTTTAAAGCGTCACCGAAACTTGCTGGTTGTAATATGTACATGTTTAGCTGTCAAGTGATGCTTGAGCGCGTTTTCTGGATAGTCGCCTTAATTTGCATACCATGGATGTTGGTTGGCAAACCTATATACATACAGTGCAAACGGGCATTCGAGGTATGATTCCACTGGATAGTAAATAAACTACAGTTAGGCAGAGAGTTAACTTAAAAATCAACCATCTTCAAATAGGTAAAGAGTGAACCAGTGGAATTTATCGATAAGATAGAAATCCAACAGGGCGATGTTGTCATTGAGGCCACTCTTACGGATCCCTTACCACATGCCCATCACGAGGATGAAGACGAGGAGGAAGAGGAGCCCATGAGTGAGATTTGGATTCACCAGGCCATTCACACCATTGAGTATGTGTTGAGTACCATTTCGCATACAGCCTCGTATCTGCGGTTGTGGGCTCTATCTTTGGCACATGCGGGTAATTTTAAATGGCCAAAATTTTGACTATTTTAGTATGAATGATATATTTTTGTTCTCTCTCTTAGAATTATCGTATGTGCTGTGGCTTATGGTTATGCAGAAGGGTCTGCATTTTGGCGGCTATGCTGGCGCAATTGGTCTGTACATCATTTTCTGGGCTTGGGCTTTACTGACCATAGCCATTATGATATTTATGGAAGGGCTTTCAGCTTTTCTGCATACGCTGCGTTTGCATTGGTAAGTGAAATATAGTGAATTTTTAATTTTGCATATACATATCTATGTTTGTATTCTCAATATTTCAGGGTCGAGTTCATGTCGAAATTCTACTCCGGCACTGGTCATGCTTTCGAGCCATTCAGCTTCAAGGCCATTATGGAAGCCACTGAAGACGATTAATTTCTTTCCTTTATAATAAATTCAAAATTTTTATCTTTGACTTATTGTTAAACAATTAATATTGTTATTTGCAAAGTGCAGTGAAAAAATTAAATTGTATTAAATTGAAATTATCCATACAAATTTTATGGAATCGTATTTTAACATTTTTTCTTGCTCCATAATTTGAATCAAAGTTTATCCTGACTAGTTAAGTTATGCTTGGGAGAGTTATGACATTGTGAGGCTGACAGATGTAGCAGTAAGCGCACAGAGAGAGCAAACATACTGTAGCTAACTTGCTTCACGTGATATTCATCCATCTAGATGCATGTTTTGGCATTAGAGACCTAGTAGAAATTCTCATATTCGTGTAAAAATCCAAACGAATATTGAGAAAAGGAAGGCATTAATATTATTAAGATCATTCAATACAAGGGTGATAAGAGGTCCTAAAATTACTTAAAAAAACACGGATGTAAAGTCTGATCGGCGAGTGACTATTTAGTTAATCATATAATTGGACTTTGTGAAGCTCTGTGCCCGTTTGACCCATTTCTCAACGTAGCATCGGACCGATAACATCGTGTCAATTGAAGCACAATTTGCAGAAATACTTTAAAGGTGTACTGGAAATTATTGACAATCATTTTTTTCATCATTCAACAACGAAGTTCCATTACATTTTGTGTGTGAAATCATTTTTTCTCTGCCGAAACGTTCAGAATGTTAGAAAAGGCTTTCGGTTATAATTGTTTGTCGTGAGCAAGTTCTTTGCGAGTATTAGATGGTCATGAAACATATTATTACTGGTGATGAGTCTTCGATCTATGCTTACGGCCCGGAAACATATTGGCAGAATATCGTGGCAAAAAAAAAAAAAAAAAAAAAAAAAATTGCCACGTCATAGCAGGTCAAAAATCAAAGTTAGTGCCGATAACTCTTGGTTGCATTGCATACTGCATAAATTCTTCGCGAGTTTTTCGCGAAATTTTAAACCAATGGAGTGGCGATACCACTGTGCTTACCTAATTTAGCTTCATGTGAATCCTCGCTATTTAGCAAACCCAAATAGCCGCTTCAGGGAAACCGCTTTGAGTCAATTCAAGACATTAAAGAGGAATCGCTACGCGCATAGAATGATATTGAATTTAAAATTATGAACAAAGTCTCAGTATTTTTTGCTCATAGTAGTAAACTTAGCAGCATAGACTAAATCTATATATATTGAGTTGATGTGCAAAACGTCAACCAGAAAATTGGAAATCACGATATTTACCATATACTTATACGCTATAAGACCAACCGGAAGTTTAAATGCTTTTAATAGGTGTCAAGGAGATAGATATAGTATTGACTCGAGTTTTTGTATGTATTTTTGGCACTACTGCATATTATTAACACATACCATAAACAATATATAATCAGTAAAGTACTGATATTAGTTATATGGAGGCTAGTTATAGGGCGCCTGGCCTCACTGTGCATCGACTACAATAAGATCAAACAGAGAAAATCTCTTGAGATAGCGATGCCATCTGCCGGCGAGGCAAAATTTCTTATCGAACCATCCTCATATAAAAGTTGCATATTATCCTCATAAAGCAGCTACCTTTTATAGTTTCTGATAAAATGTTAGGGATCAAACTCATGCCAAAAAAAAAAATATTTTGAATGACTTTTACGGGAATTTTTTATGATTCTTTTTATTTATTGTAAGATGTAAGTATGTATGTTTATAATTTAACACATTTTTTGGAAACTGCAATGAACTTCTAAATGCAAATGCAAAAGTCAGCAAAATACATACGTTATTCAAAAAAGCTCCAACTTTTAAACTCAGCAAAAGAGCTGACTCAAACGCCAACATCTGCTCTAGGTCGAAATATATATTTTATAATAATAACAATAACAATGAGAAGGTGAAATATTTTAAAAATAATTGTTTATTTAGCAACGCGAGCGTCAAGATTTACAACTAGTCGGAATTTACACTTCTCAGTGCACGGTTAATTAGACTGAAGAAAGATGTCCCTACTTAAGGCATCAATAGTGCCAATGTTAGCTTTAGTAATCACAATATGTGCATCCTCGGCGTATGCGGACTTGTTAGTGCAGTTGAATGTGAATCGGCCCTTGAACGATGTGAATGAGAAATTTGTTAGTTTTACTGTTAATCCGTCGGACTTATATCATGCGCTCGATGGCTTAAACAGGTAAGCTTGACTACACTTTATTTAAGGCAAAATATAACTTTATTTGCAATTCCAGGAAAAGTCTTACGCAAATGGCCACAATGCTGGGCACTTCGTATGTAAAATTTTCGGATGATTATAATTTCATACCAGATACCGATACGAAATATCGAAATCCGACAAAAACTATATGGAAAGGATTCAATCGCTGGACGAGGTGAGTGTACAAGCAAATGAAGAGTGACCTTTAAATAAAAATGTTTTGATAGTGCCGTCAACTGGACCATGATTATGCCACTGCCATATGAAGCTGGCGAATGGGATCCCATGCAGTCGCTGAGAATATTGAACAACTCTTACACAACGGGTATAACCGATTGCATATGGCAGCTTGGTACAGGTAGGTGACGAGCGAAAACTGGAAAACATTTTTGATAAGCTTAGTACGATAAGCTTTCTAAAATGCTCTACGTTTTAGAGTTCGGCCCTAGTGTCTCGGAGTACTTCAACGACTTAAATACATTAAGTTTGATGGTGGATACATTTGGTCCCTATGTTGATGATTGGGAAGTTATCGGCGCTGAAATGCCTTCGGGCAGCACAAATGAAGATATACGACGTTATATCGAGTACAGCAAGGACTTGAATGCGGCCTTCAATTGGTTACAGTAAGTTTGCACAGTATGGCAAAATTTTTGTGTTTATACTTAGAATGCTTTGAACACACACAGACCCGCAGATGCTTCGACTTCAAATGCTTTGTTTGGCACGGTCTACGAAAGCGATCGAGTTCTGCGCGCCATGTTCAATGAAAAAGTACCAGTTTGGTTAAACTTCATGCCCAAAGAGAGGACAAATAAGTCAAAATGGGGAAGCAGCGGTACTACTGACGGTAGTGAAACAACGGAGGATATCACCGAAGTGCTACGTTGGGCACAGACGCTTGGCGAAGCGGCAAGCTCGGGTTTTGATGCGGTATTCCGACGCATGGAACTAGATGATTTGGAGCGCCCTAGTCAAAGTTTCTTTGCAACTTTGGTATTCAAGAAAGTGATGGGTTCACGTGTATTTCCCGCACGCCCCTTTACCATATTTTTGCGCAGTAACAAGCTCTACACGCACTGTGCAAATACAGTATCGGGCGGCATAGCCTTTATGATAGTCAATCCCGATGATGAAACCAAACAAATATCCATTAGGTCCGCTACAAAGCTATCGGGTGAGGAGTACTGGCAATATATTTTGACATTCAAGAAGAATCATACCTATTTGAACAATGATAAGTTAACACTAAACTCAACGCTGCCACCACAAATTAAGACGAAGAGTCCAAATAAGTCGATACAATTGAATTCACCTGGGAAATCCATTGGCTTCTGGGTATTACCAAATGCCGACCTGGAGCATTGTCAGTTTACAGAGATTGATATTGACGAATTGGAACGGGGTTCGGAGGAGGAAAAAGTGTTGCATAAACAAATTTCGTCGTCGGATAAATTGTTGCAACAACTAATACAGGAAACAGCGCTACCCGACGATGCTAACATGAGAAATAAATACCGCGGACGTCGCTATGCCACACGTGCCCGTCATGTTGTGCTGAAAGACAAAGACGAACATATAGAATCTTTGGCCAAACTCTTTGAGCCGCTCTCTCTCGAAGAAAAGTCGCCGAAAAAGCGTGAGGAAGCGATTGAGGATCGACGCGCAGCAACATTGAAATGGATTAAGGATTTGTTGAATACTGCTATGCAGGATGGTGACGATTTGTTTTCATTGAAACGAAATACACGTAGTGTCGATGATTATTTTGGCGCTATCTTCGGTACGAAAGGTGCCCAAAAAAGATCACCTATAGTTAAGAAAATTACCGAAATTCGTAAACCAGAAAAGAAATTCATTAAACCAGCTTACGATCCAGCGCATTTCAATGAGGAGGAGTTTTTTAATAAAATGGGTACCGAAGACGAACCCGAACTGCCACGTGTACCCGAAGGTGATGTACACCTAACGCATATTACCAATGTGGAGGGTGAAGATGTTAATGAATCGAAAGAGCGGGGGCAGAAGAAACTAGCAACTATGAAAATACAAGGAACAATTGGTAAAGAGACAAGAAATGAAATGAAAGAGACACGAAACGAAATGAAACCGGTACGCTTACTGCCCACCGAGTTCTACGAGGCAATGCCAGTACGGAGTTCGGAACATAGTCAATTCAGGAAGCCGCACAAATGGAACGCACTATTATTTCCCGAGCCTTTTACGAAAAAATCAGTTATTAACGACAAGAAATTGAAAAGTAACACGCTCGGCGAATCTACTGATTTCCACGACGCCGATGCTGATGTGGAAAAAGTGCACACAGCGCAAATTCAAAGCGGTGGTCAGCTAGCTGAAGACTTTCTGCGCGCACAAGAAGAACTGGCACGCACTTTCCTGCGCGACCACGAGGACAAAGAACAAGTCGAGAAGAGCAACAAAAAAGAGCTGAACGAAAGACATCCCGAAAGTGAGGATGTGATGCTGGAGAAAATCAAATCATTACGCAATAAATATATTGATTACTTGGCGGAGAATTTGGAGAACTACTTCAATGAGCGTGGTATTGTCGGGCATTTGGATATGCAAAAGAGTTTAGAGCGCGCCACTGCTCCCTCGACAACGGAGGCACCTTGGTGGAATTTGAGTTCGCTGCGTAAACGACGATCGCCACGCGCTTTGCATTATCAAATGCCTGACGATGCATGGCTGACAAATATGATCACCAAAGACGAAGAGTTGCTGCCATTGGGAAGCATAATGCCCGAACGTTTGGTGGAGAACGAACGAGCTGCAGGAGTTTCAAACCATTTACCAATGCATGACGAAATAAGTAACAAAAAATATAACGGTTATTTAAGAACAGTCAAAGATAAAGTTAATAAGGTCGTAGACATAGTGACGAAGCATGTGAGCGAGTGGTATAATACATTCACGAAGCCTGTGGCCGATGCACAGGATGAGTCGGATGGCAACCGACTGAAAATAACAAGAGGAAAGAGAAGGTATTGAAAAAAAAACGCAACGGAGTGTATTTACGAGTCTAAAGATATTTAAGCAATGATAAAAATAAGTCTCAAGCAAGTCATGCTGAAGTACGCAATACATTTATGAAGTTGTTGGGTGTTTTCGATGTACAAATATGAGTGAATAAAAAAGTTGTAAAATAATTGCATAAAAAAATATATATATAAATATGTGAAATAATTTTGCAACCTTGGTAAGTATTGGTGGGAAATGCTTTTGATTTATTTGACCGCCGTATGTTGCAATGGAGATATAACGTTATATATTTGTGATATAAACGTTTTAAAGTTGCCAATTTGACTTTTGTTTTTAATTTGCTTAAAAGCAAGTAAAGAAAAGGTAAATTCAGGCTACCGAACATTTTATTCTCTATTTTTCGAAATTTTTCTATTCCAAAATCTTTATATTGGGTATATAAGGGCTAAGGGAGGTATTGTCCCAATGAAATCCCTTTGTAGCACACAGAAATACTTCTATCGGGAAAGGATTTCCTTTGAATTTCAATTATATATCTTCCACATTGGCCGATACTTTCGGTAAAAAATCTACCATAAGCACTCGGTCCACATATTCATTACCTAGGTTCTTGTATATTTTTGGTTTGATTTACGTAATTTTTAATTACAAAGTGGCACACGTCAAATGCACTGTTCGTGCCGAGTTGTACCATGGTTTTTTAATTCGTATATTTGTAAAATTGTTTGAATGTAGGTGTGATGATAGACCGATTTCGCCCATTTTCGCACTGTAACATAAAAATATCACAATGTTATATGTCGAATTTGATTGAAATCGGTCGAGCGGGTATCGAGCTATGCGAGTTTTTCTAAAAGTGGGCAGTATCACGTCCATTGTCCCATTTTAACCCCGGCTCCATTTAAGATACCCTGAACTGGATATATCATCTGATCAAATTTGACTCGGACTGGCCCATTTGATTGTGTGCAAACAGACTTGATCTTTTTTTTTTTCACCTACGGAATCGTTAAAAATCTTTTTAATTTTTTAGTGAGTCTACGTTATCACAAACACGAGTAACAGTATTGTTCTGCCAACAAGTTTGCATCAGAGACATAGTAGAGAATGTCAAAATCTCTTGATTCATATAGTAAGACATTATAAGGTTAAAGTTTTGGGTATGAAGTTTACTCGTACTAAGTGACTTGAAGTTTTAGCAAAAACGACGACGAGTAGAGGGTGTTTCATTCATCAAACGATTTGTAAGGCGATAATAAAGATATGTATTAAAATAAGTTAAAATATTATTTTTTTGACAGTTTTCTTGGTTTTGTCAATTTTTTCGAATAGAAATGTCCGTTGATATAAGAAAATTGGAATTAGAGCTATATAGGTTGTTGATTTGATTTTTGTTTTCAGAAGGGAAATGTGTTAGGAAAATCAAAGAACATTGTTGAAGAAAGAAACAGTCGAAAATGTGTACTTCACCTGGTTCGAAACTGATTTAAAGATCGCAGTGTTGATGGCATTCGCAAGTTGTTCCCACACTCCAGGCATATAGTGTCACGCTTCTTCAAATAGTAGATGTAGAATAGTTGGAGATGATTCACTCTTTATGTTTGGAGTATGGGACGTTTTATTGTTATATTTATAAGGAAATAAGATACAGCAAATATTTACATTCGAGAATTTTTATTTTCTAAAGAACTTTGAGACTACGTAAAAATTTCATTTAGAAAACAAAAATAATTTTTATAAATATTTCTTCGTCTTTTCTTTTAATTCTGTATAAGTATAAAATAATAACTATATTGGAAGCGCTCTTTAACTACATCGCTGAAGCAGTGATTCTAACGGTTGAATTCAACTTGATCATAAATATAACTACATACATAAATTTAACAAGAACCATGTAAGTAAAGCTTCACATATGCTTTTGGGTTATAGTTAATTATAAGAAATTATATCAAAATAAAAGTTCAAAATGATGTGCAGGGTATAAAGTTCTAATATAATTATATACACATACAATTTTGTAAATATGTATGTATGTATGTATGTTATTCAAACCAACGATGATTAGACATTTGCTTTCCTTGACTTCCCAGTTCTACCACACAAAAGACTTAAGCGACGAACTTCCAACTGCAGAGAACATTCTTAACGCACATAGCTGTAATTACCAAATTCTCCTACCTAAATGAACAAAAATCAGATAACTTTTTGTTATTATCATACTCTATCAGTTTTTCCATATTAACAATACCGATTGCAACAAGTGCCGCCAAAGAAAGTGGTAACAAAACAGAGACCGTACAATGAAATCTTCGAGCGCACTGACGAGTACCGAATAATCAAAGCTGGCATAGTTTACAGCGCTTAAAACTCACATTTAACGCTGAGTATAATTATGGCCAACAAAAGCAACATACAAACGGTCAAACAGTGAGTTCGAGCACGATCCATGTCAGGCGATCGCAGCGCTACACGCCAGCAGTCTCAAGTTAAGCGTCCAAGGCGAAGGTTGTGCGCGTGCGGTATTTCAGCAAAGTAATTCAGAAAAATTTTGTAAAGAAAGTTTTTTGTAGCTTTAAATAAAAGGTAGGTGCAAGCAAAGCGAAAATTATTTAAAAACATAAAAAAATGCTTCTTCTCTCTTTTTAATTTCAATTCGTGTGAATGTAAAAAGTGCTGATTGTGAAAGAAAATGTATGCAATTTAATATGTGTGCAAGTTGCTCAACTAACTGAAAATTATTTATTATTAATACGGAGATGTGTATATATATATATATATATCAGATACTCGTATATTTTGATTCTTAGAGCGTTGAATTGATGCCTCCGTTGAGATATTTTTTTCATAAATGCAGTTATTTGACTCTCAGTGAAGCGACAACAACAAGTATGTCATTTTTACAATACGAGTTGAGTGTTATTTCCACAAAAACAACAGGTTAGGCCAACACAGAACTTTCCTACAAATAAATATGAAAGCAATGCATAAAAACAAACAACGGTTGATATACAGACTAAAAATATGGGTATATATGTGAGGCTTGTGTGTGCGAGCCGCATAGGAAAGACACTGTGCAGAATGTAGAAAGAAGATTGCTCGTATTGATGACGTGGTTGGTGCGAAGTAGCAAGTATACAAAAATAATTTGAGACCTTTTTTGTTTTACTTTTTACTACAAACTCCTCCTTTACATATTATACATACATACAGTTGAACTTCAAATTTGTGTGCACACATTTTTTTTAATTTATATTTTTTTTATTTCGACAATTATATTGTATAATATCAGTGCTCGCATTGCGTAAAGCAGTGAAAGTTATATTTACAGCAGACTATCGCTAACACCATTACTGAACCATTGTTCGGGCTTTCGTTGTTTTTCCCAAAATTTGGCTTAATTAAAACTGTGAAGTAGGAAAACTAAAACAAACTTCAATTACTAAAATTGTGGACTTTCACCACAGAAAAGTAGCTGTCAAAAATTAGTTTCAGACTTAGAACTTTAGTTAATTAATTTTTTTTCTAATATACATTTATTTAAAATTTTTATTTGAGAAAAAAAGAAAATATATAGAAAATTAATTAAATAAAAAGCAAAAGTAAAAAAATCATAAAATATTAATAAAAAATAAAAATTAATAAGAAAGTCAAATAAAAAATAATATATATATATATAAATGAAAAAATGAGTAGATAAGCAATCATCGGCATAAACATGTTTCATCAATTGAAACGTTTCGGTGAAAGTTTTACCAATTTTAAAACAAAATTTAATGTTGGCTCTTTCTTTGAAGCTCATTTTCGCACCGATAACCCAAACATACTGACACTTAAAACGCAATAACTTCACTGGACAATCGATATCAGAAGTTAGCAGATTCTAACGCACCAGTAGAAATATAGATGGCGCCACCAATGGGCGCTAAATTCAAAAAGTCCTGTTTACTTTGGAATGACCTTGTATATATATATATCAATAGATAAGAACTTTAATACTGTTAAAGTGTATATAAAATTTTTTAATTTAAAATTTAGTTATGTTATTTGAACTCATTTGATTAATATTAGTTGCAAAAGTCGGCATAACTTTGACTTAACCAATGCTATATTACTCCTCATAGCTGCATTTTTTTTTTTAAATAGAGGGGATCTTAATTTTAATGGGCCAGTTTATATGACAGTTATATACTATAGTGCTCTGATCTAAACCATTTGTTCTAAGGTTATTGGGTTGCCTTCAATAATAATCTGTGTCAAATTCCGTAGCAATATTTTGTAAAATAGATTTTTTTTCCTTATAAAGACTTGAGTGTGTTCGGTCAATTTGTATGGCAGTTACAGTCTGTAGTGACTCGATCTGAACAATTTCTTTGGGGATTGCATATCTTTTTTAGACGATAACACGTGCCCAAGTCGGTGAAGATATCTCGCCAAATGAAAAAGTTTTGAATACAAAGCCTTCAGCTTGATCGGTCAGTTTTTAAGGCAGTTATATGCTGTAGTAGTTCGATATTAGCGGTTCCGTCAAATCTGTTACTTTTTGAGGAGAAAATCAGCTGTACAAAATTTCAGAATGATATCACAAAAACTTAGTGACTAGTTCGCGTATATGCAGAGGAACTAACACACAATCAGATATGGTGAAATCAACTCAAGTCGTCACGTTGATCGCTCATATACTATATATTTTATATTTTTTAGAAATCTAATTAAATTTGCAAGAGCGCTGTGATTTGAACATTAGTATAACCCAACGACTACCCTCCTCCGCACAACCGATGCGGGGGCACAACCGCATACGTGCGGGATCAGGATCATCTAAAACTGGTAACCCACAGAAACAAAAATGTCAACAATTAAGATTTAAAATTCGTTATAAAGTAAAAATTTGTGATGATTTCTTTTATTGAGAGAAAGCAATATGGTATTTTTGATTTAAAAGGATGAATCAGCTAAATCAAAGGTGCAGGAATAAACATAAAAATCATGACATATGCGACAGAATGATACGTTAAGTTCAAAATTTGAGCTACAAGATTTTAACAGTAAGGGTCCAAACTGCCTCGAAAAGTGAACCGGGATATTAATTTCACTTTCGATTGGGGAAAAGAACTGCTAATTATGCCATTCGGGATTTTTACTAAGAAGATTACACCAAGCTTTTTTCTCCGACTAAGTGTGGGTAGACTTATAAGTTTTAAGCCAATAGTGTATGGAGGAAGACTTAACCTTAATCTTTATATAAAATATCTTTAAATTATTTAGAGCAACGTTTAACAAAACTGAGCATAGCTTTTGCTTACGAGACTATGTTATCATAATGAGGAATAAAATGAAACTTGGGGTTCATAGTGACTCTTAAATCAAAGTTAAAAACTTGCTATAGTAAATAGTATTTTTTTACATAAGGAGAGGAAAATCCAAATATACGAGAGAGCACATTGTCTTAGATTTTTTGAGATTCAATGGCGAATTATTTCTAACACACCAAGCAAGTATATCGTCACCGTCAAAATGAAAAATAACTTAACATCACTTTTCATAAGTTTATAGGCGAAGGAAAAACGAAACGATTGGTTATAAAACGGTTAAACGTATTGGTTATCATTTGGTTTTAAATTGGTTATCATACACGGTTATATAATATATTGGTTATCATACATGAAACAAAAGTTGAGTTTTGGTTATTTATTGGGTATTATATTTGACAGTGATTTTCCATTATTTGATGATAAAATATTTGAGAATTCTATGACAGAAGAGATATCGTTTATAAATAACCGGAACAGACCGGGTCAAGATTGCGGAACACCTGAGGTGACATTAATTGAATCTGAAAGAGTATCCTCAAATATCAGTCGGTGTATAAACATAAGAATATTGCCATTAAAAAGTGAAAAGATCTTGGTTGGAGATCATTGAGAAAATGTTTAAAACGCAATTGCTAGCTTAAAGTTAAAAAAAATCTATTTAATTGACATATCTCTCACCTTCAAAGAATATCACTTTTTCTTTTAAAGTTATTTAACTAAAACAACATTGAATATAGCAAACCAGAACAAATATTATGACAGCCACAAAGTAAAATATATTTTTACCATAACTCGTTGCAAAATAAAACCAAAACAATTTTGGTAGCATATATTATATAATAATATATACATACATCCATATTTTTGCGTTTTAAAAATCAGTAATGCACTGCTCGTATTGTTTTGCAGCAAAAATTATTTAAATGGCATAAAGTCGCTGACACAGATTAGCAGGCAGCACCATGACATACAAACATACTTACGAACGTTTCGCATTGGTGAGAGACACACACACACAACCAAATATGCATGTCACTTTTGTTTAATATTAACTTGAGATCGCTAAACCATGAAGTAGACGTCACGCGCTCTAGATGATTTTAATTAATTTGTTTTTCCAATATTTTGGTCTGAATTTTTTTGTTCAATATTTGTTTTGTATTTATAATAGTTTGAAAAAAAAATTGTTGTTAAATATTTGAATTGTATCTATCACAAGATATTTCTTTGTTAATTTTAATTTCCAAAGGTTTGGCATTATTTTCTTTTGCTCTGAACTTTACCGTGTCTTGTAAGCTATTAAATAACCACCACACCAAATTAGTCACCTGACTATGCTGTGCAAAACCTCCCATTTCTTCAAAGGTGATTTTATGCAAGATGTCACTTGCCAGATTTCTGTCACAGCTATGTATGACAGTCAGATTCTAATTCAAATAGTGCAAATAAATTAATTCAATTATTGATTCATTATTCAAATTAACAGCTTGTGGTTAAAAAGGAAAAAATATGTGACATAAATGCACAGACAACTTATTAAGAAGTAAAGTGCCAGTACAGTTAATGGATTAATTAAATTGTAAATGAAGTTAATTGTCAATTGAATAAAACTGAAATAGTTGTTCTTTTATAATAATAAAGTATTATATATTATTAAATGGCAATTATATAGTATATGTCGTAGATAAGTTATTGTATAATTCCTACAAGTATTTATATTTATAATTTGTTTTTTAAGGTTTTTTATGCCTTTTGAAATGAAATATTTATTTAAAATTTTTTCTTGTTATAAACATACACTATTAACAAAGAAATTCTGAAATTTTTGAAAAAAAAAAATGTTTTAAACTCAGCCATTGCGACGCCATTTTCGGTGACCCCCCGGAAAAAAAGATGCGCCCGCATTGGCAACTTTATATTAAGGATAACTCCATACAGGATCATCTAAATGGAAAACTACATGTTTTAGTTAAAACCTTAGCTAAGAATTTGGGCAAAGAAAAAAAAAACAGAAAATTGAATTTTTGGCAAAAGTTTTTACAAAAAAAAATTTCGCTACATTTTTTTTCAAATTGTTGTATCGAAAAAAAAATCTTTCATCCAAATCTTTAAGAATTGCATCTCAAAGGTCTGTTCCCAAGAAATCTTGTCAATCGACTTCAAAAACACAGTTTCAAGAAAACTCGTTTAAAGATAGCCTAGACTTAGCCTAGCCAAGTTCTCAAGGCTGTATCTCCGCAACTATTATTCGGATCAACTTGAAAATTTAAATATTCTATAAATGTTGTACAATTTAATAAAACATTTAAAAAATTTATGTTTTGAAACCCGTTAATCCATGTAACAGTTTATGGGAATATTAAGGGGCCTTAGAAATAAAAAATTCGAACTTTTTATATTCTCAAATGTGCATGTTTTGAAGAGGATTTTGCAAAACTCAAATAAAAATATGGTTCGGTCGGAACTGAAATTCGTTCTCCTCGAAACTGTTTCTTTTGTGCAACTACCAATATCTCAAAATTTAAACATATAATATTTTGAAAAAAGCCGAAATAGTCGAAAAAGTGGTAGAAAATTGTTGTTTTTTCAGACAGTCGCCATTTCTGGTATTTTTGTAATGTTAATAAATAACTTATAGAAAAATGGATAGTAAAAATATTAATTGCCTTTTTTACGACACTTCCAAAATTACCTGAAATTCATGACTCTAGCCTAGAATACTAATTTAATTGATACATTTTCGAACAAAATATATGTTTAACTGCTATTATAAATCTATTGGTGAACCAATGAGTTAAAAAATTATGTTTAAAACTTGGGTTTAAAATTTTAAACTTGGGGTATAAAAACTTGGTTGCAATCGAACTTTGCCTTTCGTATTTCTTTTGCTTTACTATTTCGCTATTTTTTTGGTTTTGCATAAATCTGCACACGCTATTGCCCCCCTTTATTGCATAACAACCACATATTCGTATACATATTTCTATTTATTATATTTGCTTTAGTACACACCCATACAATACAGACAATACATAAACACAAACATGTCTATTATAGATGGGTTTGCTGAATGTGTTGCCGAGTGCTGACTATCTGCGCGATATTTTGCTTTTAGCCTTGTTTTCGGCCATCGTTGCCGCACTTCTGAGCATACGCTTCTATTTGCGCATTACAGCTGGGCGATGTTTCACCGAGGTAAACGTTTAATTTCTACTCTCATCCCTCACCTCTCGTCTCCCAACTGTCACCAGGCACCTGTCACCTTTTGAACTAACCAAAGTGCTTTCCAATTATATATAATATTTATGTATTTCCCCACCAAATCTCCACAGTATAAACAACAACACACTCTTATTACATAAACGTGCTATTAAAATAAAATATGTGAGCACGGTTTTAATTATCTAATTACAAATTATTTAAAAACTCGTGGCTAGTGAGTTGAGGCTAGTACTGTGAACTCTAAGCGGCTTTATGTAAGTCTTTGTTATATGTTAACTGTCAAGAGGCAAAAAAATATCTGTAAGACACGCGTTTAAGTCGAAATGTGACATTAATACCCTATCAACCTATGTTACCCGGTACTTTAGGTTAGTTTATACAAACCGAAAATGAAGATCAGTTTTGCACAGTTTGCACAGGTACACTTTTAAAAGCAAATCTTATGAAAATGGAATAAAGGGTTAATCATAGAATAAATAAATAAATTAGAGGGTTAGTCATTGTAAACAACTAATATATATATGTACATATACGTATTGTAATAGAGAGTTTTTCGCAAAGTCCATTTAATTTCTCTATAAAATATTTGTCCCGAAGTAAACTATTGTATAATCTATTACTCATATTATTATTGATAGTCCAAGGGTAAAACTGGTCTACTATTAACTGCCGCTATTTTCCATGAATTAAAATTAATAACTTGAAACTTCTTATTATACAATTAGGTTAGAAAACTTTAGAATTATTTCTTTATTAGTGTGACAGATGAAGACAATCGCATTCAGCAGTAATATATAGTTCATATAGTATAATGTCAAATATAATTGCAAAGTTTAGCCTAATAAAGTAATTTTATAAGTCGATGAATTTTATGCCTCACATATCTACATATTTAATCGGAATGATGTGAGACTTCCGACTGGCATATCCGAGAGGGTATTGCGCTTATAAATTAACTACAAACAAAAACTAAGGTAGTTGTCAACGTCAAAATTGACGTGACTATATTATTAAGAGCATATAAAAAGCGTACCAGTGAGAAATTCGATGAATGGAAAGGCAATTTATAACTTAATGAACTAAAATACTGTGCAATAGTAAAGCTTGGTAAAAAACAAAAAATGAATTTACAGGCGAATCCAAAGACCACATATATGAAAAAAAATTATTAAAAGGAATGGAAAACAAGTAAGGAAGGGCTAAGTTCGGGTGTCACCGAACATTTTATACTCTCGCATGATAAAGTGATAATCGAGATTTCAGGCGTGGTTGTGAACCGA